GCCCCGCGGCGCCTGCAGACGGGCGGCTCCCGCCGGGGCCCCGACGGCGACGGTGGCGGCGGCGACGGCGGCGACGAGAGGGGCTACGAGATCATCAGCTTCGCCGAGCCAGGTGGGTGCCCGTTTCCCCCCCACACACACACCCCACACCCCGTGGGCGGCAGGGCGCGACTCCCGTGGGCTCCCCCGCGACTCCCGTGGGGTCCCCCATCGCCCCCCGACGTGGCTCGGTTGAGCCGGGCTGCCCCCGGTGCCAGAGCCCCCCGGGGGCTCGTTGCTGAGGACCCTCGAGGCTGTGCAGCCCCCCCTTGAACCTTGGGGTGCTTGGGGTCGGGGTCCCGGCCGTCTCCCCCCCCCGCAGTGGGGTGAGGATGCCGGGAGTGCCAGGCTGTGATTAAGTCATTAGTTCCCGGTGACCTCGACTCCCGTGGGCTCCCCCGCGCCCCCCGACGTGGCTCGGTTGAGCCGGGTTGCCCCCGGTGCCAGAGCCCCCCGGGGGCTCGTTGCTGAGGACCTGCGAGGCTGTGCAGCCCCCCCTTGAACCTTGGGGGTGCTGCAGGATGGTTGGGGTCGGGGTCCTGGCCGTCTGCCCCCCCGCAGTGGGGTGAGGATGCCGGGAGTGCCAGGCTGTGATTAAGTCATTAGTCACCGGTGACCTCCCGGTGCCGCTGATGCGGGAGGGCTCAGCCCGGGACAAGGAGAGATGGCCCTTCTTTTGCCCCCCCTCCCCCCCCCACCTGAAGTGCTGCGATGCCCGGCCCCTTCCCGAGGGATGGGGGCAGCTCAGGGTGCCTGGGACTCCCAATTTTTGGATTTGGGAGCTGCAAGGTCTAGTTTGGAGGGGGGAACACTCTCTGGTTTTGCCCTGTGCAGCGAAGAAGGGCCAGGTGAGAGCAGGTGCCCCTTTTGTGCCCCTTTTGTGCCCCTTTTGTGCCCCTTTTGTGCCCCTTCTGCCAGGCAGGGTGGGATAGTCCCTCCTCCCAACACCACCTTCTCCTCCGGGCAGCATTCCCAAGGAAGGGAAGGGGATTGACCGAGGGTCCTTGTAGAAAGACAAAAGTTTGGGGGGTCTTTCCTGAGAAGAAGCTGAAAGAGGTTGGCCTTGACGTGCAGGATGGGGGTGCAGCCTCGCCTCCCCCGGCGTCCTGGGGCATCCGAGGGGCAACGGGCACAAGTTGGACCAGAAGAGGTTCCACTCAAATCTGAGGAGAAACTTCTTCACGGTGAGGGTGGCAGAGGCTGCCCAGGGAGGGTGTGGAGTCCCCTTCCTTGGAGATTTTCAAGATGATCCTGAGTAACGTGCTCTGACAAGCTCTGGGCAATCCTGCTTCAGCAGGGGAGTTGGACTAGATGATCTCTGTGGTCCCTTCCAACTCTAAAAATTCAGTGAAATTGAGTGAAATCCCTTTCTCCCCCCAGAGCCCACGTCCCCCTCTGCCTTGGGGCTGCGCTTCCAGTTCAGCCGCCCGCGAGACCAGGACGTTCACATCCTTCAGGCTCAGCTTTGGCTCTACCTTCGAGTCCCTCGAGACCCGGCGGCCGGTCTCCGGCTACGAATCTTCCTGGTGGGTGGGGAGGGGGGTTTGGTGGGGGGGGGCAACCGCACGTTGCTGAGCGAGAGGCGCCTGGGTGCCAAGGGCAGCGGGTGGCGAGCCTTCCCCCTCCTGCCCGCCCTGCGGGGTTTTTTGGGGGGAGAAGGCAGGACCCTGCGGCTGGAACTGGAAAGCTGGGGGAAGGGGGGTGATATCATGGCTCTGGTCAACGCCAGCCGAGCCCAACAGCCCTTTTTGGTGGCCAAGGCGAGGGTGAGGGAGCCGGGGCACCGCGTGGCCAAGCGCAGCCTCCGCTGCAGCCAGAACTCCAACCTCTGCTGCCGCAAGGACTACTACGTGGATTTCCGCGACATCGGTTGGAACGACTGGATCATTAAGCCCGAGGGCTACCAGATAAACTACTGTGTGGGCCAGTGCCCTCTCCACGTGGCCGGCAGCCCCGGCATGGCCTCTTCTTTCCACACCGCCGTCTTCAACCTGGTCAAAGCCAACAACATCCAGGCCTCGGGGCACTCCTGCTGCGTGCCCACGCGGCGCCGGCCGCTCTCCGTCCTCTACTTCGATCGCAATAGCAATATTGTCAAGACTGACATCCCCGACATGATTGTCGACGCCTGTGGCTGTAGCTAGGGGTTGGGGGAGCCACCCCCCCCTTCTCCAGGACTGTGTCTCTGGTGGGGGATTTGGAGGGAGGGCTCCCTTGAGCTGGAGTCAGACTGTGGTGCGACGGACCCCTTTGGAAAAGTGGGGAGGGAGGGAGGGAGTGTTCCCTCATCTGAGGGAGCAGGGGATGTTTCCAGAGGGGCAGGGGTCTCTGGGGACACACAGGACGGAGCCAAGGCCACGTCAGACTGAGCTGTGTGCGGGTGGTGACTCTGGGTGTGTGTCCCTGCCCTGACTGGCAGCATCCCTCTGCTCCCAAGCTGATCCCACATTTCTGGTTCCCCTTGGGTTCCCCTCTTTGTGTGGGGTGAGGGGGCCCTGCTTTCTTCACAGTCAGAGCGTCTGGGGGCAGTTTGGGACCCTTGAGAGCCGAGTGGGATGGGGGACCAGGTCCGTTTCCTCCAAGTGGAGGACAAGAGATAGTCCCACTTCTCCCCTGCTGCTACAAATCTTCCTGCGTCAAATTTGGGCCTATTTTTGAGAACAGGTGGAATGAGGCACAAAGAGACCTGGAAGATGAGGATGAAGGGTATGACTTTTTGTCAAGAACCCCAAAACCGCAATGACTAGACACGGTCTTCTGCTCCCAGGAGGGCATGGAGCTGTGAGGGATGGTCTTGCTTCCTGGCCAGGTCCTGTGTGTTTTCCCCTTTAATTTCCCTGAGTTTTGTGCTTTTTTTCCCTTTTGCCCACCCACCAGCCAGGTCTCTTCCAGCCCAGTGCCTCCTTACAAGGAGGTCTGACTCAAACTTTGCCTTTAAGACAGTACTAAAGGTACAGATTCTTTTTTTTTTTTTTTTTTCTTTTTTAACCTCTAGTTTTGCAGCTATTCCTACTTTTACACTAGAGGTTTCTGTAGCTGTCGGGACTCCCTGGTGGCTCCATCCTGTCTACCCACCTCTGTTCTGCAGATCCCACTCTGCCTTTGCCTTCCTGATGCTCATGTACGCGACGCACCCACGTGGCCTATGCTTTTAATTTATTGGAATACCTCGGTGCAGCTTCCCCAATAAACGGGTGGAAATTTATCCAGGCTCTGACTGCTTTCTCCAGGCACCAACTTGCATGAATGGGATGGGGGGAAATGGTCCTGCTTGGCTGGAAGGTCCCGCTCCTTGCTCAGGCCCCTCACTCTGACTGGGAGGATGCTGGGTGGGTTCTGGGGCTAGAGAAGACCAGTAGGTCCTGGGAGGACCTGGGACCTGCTGTCCTGGGAGGTGAGGGGAGCTCTTGGTGCTTTTGGGGCTCCCTGGTTGCCATGGGGTGTTACCCACAGGTGTTACCCTGTGTGAGCAAGCTCTTCCTTGTGGATGGGGGGTCCCAGGGATAGGGCAGGGGCTGGGAACTGGTACCAACTTACTGGGGGCTGGAGAAGGGTGGTCTTGTAACATGAGCATCAAAGAAGCTGTTTCCCAGCAGGGCAGGTACCACTGAGGGGCATAGCCCAACCTGAAGATGGATCAATCCCAAATGGAGCTCAAAATGCCCCAACTCTGGAGACTTTGGCCCCAGGGGGATGACCTCGAAGAACAAGCTGCAGCTCACCCCCAAATCCTGGGCCCCCATTGCAAAGACCAGAGATTGTATCCTCATCAGGTATCACTGACCTCCCCAATCTTCTCTCACACACCACCCCGTGATCCCAGTCTCAAACCCATGGTAGCCAGTCATAGAGCTGGTGGATGATGGGGAGTCTCCTGCATAATTTTGGGGTGGGAGGCAACGGCCCCCGCTCATCCCTCTGGGATCCCACATGGCTGGCCTGGGTCCTTGTTGCGCAAGCACCTGCTCAAAGCTCAGTTTGGGGCTGTTTTATCTGGGGACAAACCCACTTGCTTTCCAAGCTTGGCCCTGTGCTGCACCCTGCAAGTGGACAAAGGGCAGCTTTCATCAGCCAGCCATGGCAGGCATCCCCCTGGGGCTGCGGGGCTGGCACAGCCATTGCCCAGGCTTTCCAAAAATAGGGAAAGGCTGAGAGACCTGGGGCTCTGGGTTCAGCCTAGAGAAGACTGAGAGGGGACCTCATCAATGCTCATCGATATCTAAAGGGCAGGTGTCAAGAGGATGGGGTTGGGCTCTTCCCAGTGGTGCCTGGTGATGGGACAAGGGGCAATGGGCACAAACATGGGCAGTTCCACTCCAATCTGAGGAAGAACTTCTTTGGGGTGAGGGTGGCAGAGCCCTGGAAGAGGCTGCCCAGAGAGGGTGTGGGGTCTCCTGCTCTGGAGATACTCCAAACCCACCTGGACGCATCCAACCTGCTGTGGGTGACCCTGCTCTGGCAGGGGGTTGGACTAAATGATCTCCAGAGGTCCCTTCAACCCCTACAATTGGGTGATTCTGTGAAAAGACGACTTGCACTTGCCTTCTGGGCACTGCCAGGGCTGCAGCACGTGTGTGGCTGACACAACGGGGCACCGTGTCGGTGTCCGTGCCCCCAGGAGCGTGTTGCTGCCGTGCACGTGCTGAGAGTTGCACGCCTGGATTTCAGGTAAATGCACGGAGATGTCCACGGTGTCTTTACAATCTTCCCTCTCCCTCCCTGTATCAGCAGCACTGAGGGACTTGGCAGGGAGGCATCCCCCAAAGATGCCCCAAAAAGCGTGTTTTCCTTTGCCAGCAGCACAGCATCTTCCCCCCCCCCCAACACGTCCTTCCGTGGCAGAGGGGAGGTTGTCCACACGCGTGTGTGTGTGTGTGTGTGTGATGTGCTGACTCACTGACACACTGACACGCTGACCCACCGGCCCAGAGCCGAGATGCTGAGCTGGCTGTGGTGGTACCATTAAGTCTTTAAGCTGGGTGATCATCTCCTCCTCCTTTGAGCCGCTTTAATTTTCCAAAACAGGAGGCCAAGATTAACCGTGGGGTGGGGGACATGGTTGGGGATCTGGCCGTGAGGCGAGGAGCTGCCTGAGTGTGGTTTCCACTTGGGGGGCTCAAAGCGAGTGGCAAAAGGGACCTGGACCAGTCTGGCCACCTTGGGAAGATGCGGGTGGTCTTGGGGCAAGTCCCCAGCCCTGGGGAGGGGGCTGTGGGCGATGGGGCCGGCCCCACACAGTGCCCGGGGGGGGGGACACCTTTCCCGGCAGCTTAGTTGGGGTCACACTCAGCTCAGGAGTAAATCTGCTGAGCTGCTTATGCCTCTTACGAAACAGGCACGAAGGCAGCCCCTCTCACCCCACACCCGCCACCTTGGCCCTGCTGTGGGGCTGATGATGCCGTGGGGCTGATGATGCCGTGGGGCTCGATGGGCTGCAGCTCCCTGGGGGGACCCTGGGACACGGCTCCCCCTCCTCCTCTCCTGGTGCCAGGGGAATGGGAGGGGGGGGAACTGTGTAGGGCATCGCCACCTCCCCTGCATCCCCTGGGGAGCAGAGACAGAATCACAGAATCTTCTAGGTTGGAAGGGACCTCAAAGATCATCTTGTCCAACCGTCAACCTAACTTTGACAAAAATAGACACCCCCACAACAAACAAGGAGCATCATCACTAAACCAGACCTCCCAGCACCACATCAACCCGGCTTTTGAACACCTCCAGGGATGGGGCCTCAACCCCCTCCCTGGGCAGCCCATTCCAAGGGCTGAGAACCCTTTCAGGGAAAAAATTGTTCCTAATATCCAGCCTGAACCTCCCCTGGTGCAACTTGAGGCCATTTCCTCTCGTCCTGTCGCCTGTGACTTGAGAAAAGAGACCAACCCCCACCTCTCTACACCCTCCTTGTGTTGTAGAGTTGGAGAGAGCAATAAGGTCTCCCCTCAGCCTCCTCTTCTCCAGGCTGAACACCCCCAGCTCCCTCAGCCTCTCCTCATCAGACTTATTCTCCAGACCCCTCACCACCTTTGTCGCCCTTCTCTGGACCCGCTCCAGCACCTCGATGTCTTTTTTATGGTAGGGGGCCCAAAACTGGACGCAGCACTCGAGGTGAGGCCTCACCAGTGCCCAGTACAGGGGGACAATCACCTCTCGGGCCCTACTCCCCACGCTGTTCCTGACACAGGCCAGGATGCTGGTGGCTTTTTTGGCCACCTGGGCACACTGCTGGCTCATCTTCAGCCCACAGGCCACCAACCCCCCCAGGTCCTTTTCTGCCCGGCAGCTCCAGCCACTCTGCCCCCTCCTCACCCTTTGCTGTGTTGGGGGGGGGGGCTAGTGGGGAAACTGAGGCAGGGAGCAGCCTTTTTCAGGCTGTGGCTGGGAGCTGAGGTGTCTCTGTGACACCCGTGGGTTGCGGGCAGTCGGTGCAGAGGGTGTTTCCTTGAGCTGTGGCGTGGGCCATGCCCTAAAGATGCTCCTGTGGTGTGCTGGGTACCCGTGGTGCGTGACGATACACGGGGGCACAGGGAGGACGGGCTAATGCCAAGGAAGGCAGGGTGCCCACAGCGGGGGTAATCCTGCTAAGAGGCTCTGAGGTCAGGCTGGGTGTGGGGCACGGCTCCCAGCACCTTTGGGGCTCACGCTCAGCTCGGGCAGCATCATCCCAGAGAGCCAGGATGGAGCTGGGAGCCGCTGAGCACTGGGACAGGGTGAAAATGCATGTTTCCCCAAAAAAAAAGCATGTCTGGGGTCACCTGGGAGCTGCTCCCTTCCCCATTTGGGACCATTTGGGAGCACTGGGACAGGGTGAAACTGCATGTCCCTCCCCCCCCAAAAAAAGCATGTCTGGGGTCACCTGGGGAGCACCTCCCTTCCCCATTTGGGGGAAGGCTGGGTGTGGGGCACGGCTCCCAGCACCTTTGGGGTCACGCTCAGCTCGGGCAGCATCATCCCAGAGAGCCAGGATGGAGCTGGGAGCCACTGAGCACTGGGACAGGGTGAAAATGCATGTTTCCCCCCCAAAAAAAGCACATCTGGGGTCACCTGAGGAGCTGCTCCCTTCCCTATTTGGGGAAGAGACCATTTGGGAGCACTGGGACAGGGTGAAACTGCATGTCCCTCCCCCCCCAAAAAAGCACATCTGGGGTCACCTGGGGAGCTGCTCCCTTCCCATCTGGGGGAAGGCTGGGTGTGGGGCACGGCTCCCAGCACCTTTGGGGCTCACACTCAGCGTGGGCAGCATCGTCT